GTAAAAATCCGACTGGGTGAGTATAAATAACTCGAAGACAAACTCGTGATTGATCGATAAAAATCTGACTGGGCGAGTATAAATAACTCGAAGACAAAATCGTGATTGATCGGTAAAAATCTGACTGGGCGAGTATAAATAACTCAAAGACAAACTCGTGATTGATCGGTAAAAATCTGACTGGGTGAGTATAAATAACTCGAAGACAAACTCGTAATTGATCATTAAAAATCTGACTAGGCGAGTAGAAATAACTCGAAGACAAACTCGTGATTGATCGGTAAAAATACGACTGGGCGAGTATAAATAACTTGAAGACAAACCCGTGCTGGATCGGTAAAAGATGATATTTTATCACTTGGAATCATTTTTCCCCATTTTGATCATATCAGCATTGAGGCGATCCTTTCGCTTAAACATTTGAAGGTTACTTATATTATTTCCCCTAGGAGCTCGGCATTTTGGAGATCCCATTATTCAAAAAGCTTCTCAACTTGGATTGTTTTTTAATCTCCAAATAGGTCGGATTGTGGGCGATCCCATTGTTTAAAAATACTTTTTCAAAACTTAAAATTATTTTTATATCTTCATGAAGTTGGCATTCGGACGGTCATTCGGTTCAAGAATTAAAAGTTCTAAACTTGGATTATTTTTATAGCTCTATCAATCAAAATTTGGACGAGTTAATGTCTTTGTTCAAAATGGATCTTTTTAACTTAAATTATTTTTATAGCTCTATCAATCGGAATTTGGACGAGTTAATGTCTTTGTTCAAAATGGATCTTTTTAACTTAGATTATTTTATAGCTCTATCAATCGGAATTTGGACGAGTTGATGTCTTTGTTCAAAATGGATCCTTTTAACTTAGATTATTTTTATAGCTCTATCAATCGAAATTTGGACGAGTTAATGTCTTTGTTCAAAATGGATCTTTTTAACTTAGATTATTTTATAGCTCTATCAAGCGGAATTTGGACGAGTTAATGTCTTTGTTCAAAATGGATCTTTTTAACCTAGATTATTTTTATAGCTCTATCAATCGGAATTTGGACGAGTTAATGTCTGTTCAAAATGGATCTTTTTAACTTAGATTATTTTTTATAGCTTTATCAATCGGAATTTGGATGAGTTAATGTTTTTGTTCAAAATGGATCTTTTTAACTTAGATTATTTTTATGGCTTTATCAATCGGAATTTGGACAAGTTATTGTCTTTGCTCAAAATTCATCTTTTTAACTTAGATTATTTTTATGGCTTTATCAAATTTTTATGGCTTTATCAATCGGAATTTGAATGAGTTATTGTCTTTTTCCAAAATTCATCTTTTTAACTTATATTATTTTTATGGCCTTATGAATCGGAAAGCGGGCGAGCCATTACTCTTCCAAATTAATTTTAAACTTCATTTTCCTATGGAATCGGAATTTGAACGAGTCGAATCTCTTTTCCAAATACGTATTTGCCCCAACATGCGTTTATTTTATTCTCGTTTCATTTTGAGGATTTATCAAAGAATCCCACCTATGAATTTTTCAAATTCGCGTAAATCAAGCAACGACCAATACTAGATTTCCGAATCATAAAAGTCAGCAAGAGACTTTCATATAAGGAAAAAGTAAAGGGATAGTTCATACAGAATTGAAAGAAGAATAAAATGCATAAGTTCCTAATCTAATCATCCTCGGGAGGATCCACAAGTTCACCGTTCACGACCTCCTTGAATTAGCCAATGCCCCCGATATCAAGATCGACATGGAGAAATTTTATCTGAGTCGTCGCCGCATCGAAGCCTGCAACGAACTTGTTCATAGCTTCGACCTTGGTCACTTGTAGATCAGCTTGTAACCTCTCAACTTCGACTTTTAGCAATGACAAATCATTCTCGAAGACTTGGGCAGCATCGACATTTTTGTCTCGGGCTAGACGAGTCTCGCCTAGCTCTTTCTCCATCGCCGCTTTCTCGGCTGACCAAACTCGTCTTTCCTCCTCAAAGACGCGTTGTCCCTCAAGCAGTTTGTCCCGCTCAGTAGACACCCATTTGAGATCGGCCTTACTTTTGGCCAGGCTCTCCTCAAGGGAAGAAATCTTCTTTCCCTGAACCTTAGTCTCCCTCACCAAACCACGAATCTTGTCCTGATTAACAAGGGAGAGTGCAGACAAACAGTTAGTCAAAGACTCAACCCCTTTTGCGATGGAGAAAGCACTCATTTTCTCCAGATCGTCTTTGTCGCCCTCAAGAAAATCAATTTGGCGGATATGGTCCGAGTGGTTAAACATCTTGTCCCAAAAGGAGGTAGCTTTGCCCTGATCGGTCCCGCGGTCAATCGGATCCCAATTCTCACCGACGCACATGCTCAACGTCCTCTCCGCCGATTGAACCTCATCATCTCTTTCGGTACCTCCAACACCGACCTCCATCTCCAAGTTTACAAGAGATATAGGCTTCTCGGATTCGCGACGACGTTTGTGAGAGCTCTCACCAAGTACTTCCTTGTGAAGTAACGCGCCGCTTTCCTTCGCTTTCTCAACTATCGGACTTGCGGTTCCAGCAGCTTTGGAAGCCTTCTACTGCCTCCACAATTTCATCAACTCTTGGTTGCTTATGCTTGCCACTTTCTCTACAAAAAAGAATTTCATTCAGATTCCGTCAAGGTTAATCCTACATAAAACGACAAGAATAACTATCGGAAAAATGCTGAGTACCTATATAAATTTTCAGTTCCGTAGGCCTATTTTCTAAGTCTAGGAGTTTGCCAGTATTGAATATGGTTTTGAGGTCTTCAATTTTTTTACATCATCTCGATCAGTCTCAGAAAGCTTCTCGGAATCTAGTCCACCAAAGGTTATCGTTTTCTGATTCCAATATAAAGGAAATCCCTCTAATACGTTCTCATTGCCTTGTACACTACGAACTCGGAAAAAATGATTTTTTGAAGTCCTTGTAGGACGATTGAAACAGGGACAACACTCCCCGACCCGAAACCCCACTAACGGATACCCAACTACTACGTTTGTTGGCCTGACTTTCAAAGAAATAAAAGAACTTATGTACGGTTGATGTTATCCCGAGCCCATTACATAAAATCTCAAAACCACGCACAAAGGCCCAACTATTGGGGTGCAGTTGCGTTGGGGCTACGTCCAATGCTCAAAGCACCCCCTTTTCACAGTCAGTAAGGGGCATCTCACCTTAAGCTTAGAAATGAGGGTGGAGTAACAAAAAGTAAATTTGTCAGTAGAGGGTGAACTAATACATATAGGTTCCCTATCAACGCAAGGCTCACACATAACTACATCGTTCCCATCACGATAGATTACGTGCTCTCTGCAAAAACCCTCCATAATAGGCCAAGAGTTTATACAAGACTCACACCTTAATGTAACACTCCAATTTTTTTAAAAGGTATTTTTGTAATTAATGGCATTTTGTAATTTTAATAAAGGAATAAGGGTATTTTTGTAATTTTATTATTAATGGCATTTTCGCAATTTTATTAAAGTTTGAGGGGTAAAAGGGTAACTTGGAACGGGCTATTCCAAAATTGGAACGGGCCGTTCCAAGCAATAAAAATATACTGAAATTTCAAATTGAGAACGGGCCCAGAACGGGCCGTTCCAACAAGGAGAACGGGCCGTTCCGGAGGGAGAACGGGTCGTTCTGCTGAGATTGAGAACGGGCCGTTCTGGTTTCAGAACGGGGGTGTAGGCGACCGTGACGACATCCGCAGTACAACCCAATGACTTCCACGGCGAGCCTCATCCTCCCACCGACACCTCTCACGCGCGACTCACGTGAGGTCAGGTCATGTGGCAACACAATGGTGTCGTTCCCCTCATGCAGTGACCCCTTCTACAAAATCAGGTGCAGCAACAGCAAGAGCGTCCTCTTGGACACGCTCAACAACGCCTCGCCGTCAACCCCAAAGCCCAACGCCTCGTCATCCAACCCATACCTCTCCTGTCCAACACCTACGTCACCACCGACAAAGCCCACCAGGGGATCCAATCCCCCCTCAGCTCAACTGCTCTGCTGCCTGCACCGACGGCTCCTGCAACTCCTACTGTCCTACATGATTTCTTAATCATAACTCTAATCTTCCCGTCAACCGCTGGCCCTAACCAGGTTTGGAGATTCAGTGAAATTCTAGAATTGCCCCTTGACCGGTTATCAGAGAGTTAACTATGACTTAGGTTATTAAATACACGTGTAACATCTTATTTCATCAAGTGGCACCAAAACCCTCTTATATAAACTGGCACGTAGCATTAATAGCCTTATGGGTATTGTTAATTCCTTGGTCTTCTTCTATTATCGAGCATGGCATCAAAAAGGAAGAGCGGTTGCAGCAAGGAGTTCGCAGAGAGTTATATGTTGTTGAACCCAGAAGACGCTGATTTCTTTGATCTATTAGGTGTCCTATTTTCCCGAAAGTTGGGAAATCGAAGATTCGTGGAGTGTGACGCAGAGGGGGCTGTTGAGGGAAGCTTCCGCCACAGATGGCTCATATTTGTGTCTGTCGTACTGCAGAAGTTTCTCATGTACGTCGCTAAGCCACTTGCCTTTTTCGGCTCTTGCATTGAGCTCCTCATCAACCTCCTTCTCCTCAACGGTGGCTTCTTCAGAATATTCATTAACTTTCTCACATGTAATTACCTTTCTTTTCTTCCAACACATATACGTACATCTTACTTCTTCTTTTTTAACACTTTGCTTCTATATACATACCTCACTCAAAATCCAATCCAACATAATCATAAGAAAAATATTTCTCTCAGTTGATTACCGGACAAGTGGCTGGAACTTTTCAGGCAAAGGACCCTCAATTGGCCAAATACTCTGAAAAGATCAAGCTCCTATCGGAAAATTTCTGAGAGTTTACACTTAGCCATGTACCATAAGAGCAGAACTCACGAGCCGACCTCCTCTCAAAACTAGCAAGCACGAATAGACTAGGCACCACGCGTTCGGTCATTCAAGAAGTCCTATCCCAACCAAGCATCAATGGCCCTTCCGCCGAGGTCCTAGTATGATAGAATTTTCCCTCAGTTTTTGTCTCATGAACTCTGCATATGCTTCATCTCCAACTCTTGGTTGTCCAAACGTGTAGATTCCTTCCAACCTCTCAATCAGCAACTTGTCATCATGCAAGAACATGATGGTGGGATAGAGGATTGCGAGTGCTCCACCCAAACTATGACCCGTAAGTATAAACTTTGCATTCGGATTTTCGCTCAAACCTTTCCTTAAAATGTCCCTAACAACGTAGTAGGCTAAGGGGGGAACACTTTCGTCCCACTGAATCTCCTTAGGCCACCCCACATTCCTTTGTAGCCCTAAGGCTTTCATAAAGCCACCATGCATTTTTCCAATGCCGGGAATCCCATACCACGAGATGTCAAGGTCAGTGCACCATGCATCTGCATCAAAGGGTTCCGTTCCTCGGAAAGCCACCATGCATTTTTCCAATGCCGGGAATCCCATACCACGAGATGTCAAGGTCAGTGCACCATGCATCTGCATCAAAGGGTTCCGTTCCTCGGAAAGCCACCACGTAAGTGTCGCGCTAGCTCTGGTCACTGGGCCCTTGGCCCATGGTCTATCAGTGGCTCATGCCAAAGCCACAGCCAAAGTCACCGGGGGCGATACCTCAACCACTTCATCCCCACTATCCTCCTGCTCGGCAAGATCGGAGGGGAACACTACTTCACATTGCAGTGGAGGCAACCTTGATACTTCACTCGAACCCGACCCCTCTTTATCCAACGCAGCACACGACACCCCCGAGGACGTCCATCTCCTGGCCGAGGAATAGCCCCTATCCATTTATTACCAAAAATAAAGAATACAAAATTTACCTTGATCGGCGTGTTTGGATGAATCTGATTTCAAGAGCGCTCGGGAAGTTTACAGCAAGTAAATTCCCACGGAGCCCCCCTATTTATAGGCAAGGTAAATGGGGGAGGTGAAAAGACGTCCCGAAACCGCAACCGTTCGATCTGGATCATCCAACGGTCCAGATTTAGTAACCGTTGGGCCTGTAACCGCTAGGGCCAACGTGGCAGGCCAAACCCACCGAGGTCTTGGCGTAGGCACCAACCGCTTGAGGTCTCGGTGTAGGCTCCGTCCAGCCAAGGTCTCGGCATAGGCTTTATCCAGCCGAGATCTCGGCATAGGCTTTATCAGTCTGAGGTCTCGGCATGCCATTAGAAATCGGCCTCACCGACTCAACCTTAAACTTTAGAGCTTGGCCACTATCATCGCTCCTAAATGAGGATCGCGTTTTCGGCTAAAGTAGTCGGTAATACATGATAGTTGACGACCATAAATGTACCACGTCCCGGTACAACTACCGAGGTCATTGAAAGACAGCTACACTGGGAACACGCACATTACCACTAGCGGTCGGAGTCAACCTCTATCCTTCCGCGCCGAGAACCACAGCCTACACATTTAGACCGTCATCGTCTTTCACATCCTCGACGCTGCGGGGGTTGTATACCGTATAGTGGCCGACTAGGCCGAAAACCCGAATACCCGAGCCCATGGCCGACTAGGCCGATTTTTGAGTCCGTGAACGATCAGGACGAATATCCGAGCCCACCGACCACTCACAATCTGAACAGAACGTGTCGGTGTGCTCGGCCAAGCCCCGTACTTGCGCCATGATGATTACGGAGAGGTTAATTTACGTAATGCACCGGATTAACCCCCTAATTTCCCGGGGCCCAATCCTTAATCATGGCCCAATAGGAATCACTATAAATAGGACCCCAACGATGTATGTAACTAACTTTTAACTACCGCATTTATTACGCCGAGCACTTACTTGAGCATTGGAGTGTCTTTGCAGGCACTCCCTCGCTTCGGACTACTCGGAACAGGACGAGAAGACCTAGACCCAAAACCAGACCCGCTACAACAAAGATAATTGAAGTGTGTATCCTAACACAGAAACATATTTCATCATGTGTAATGTGTTACTCTAAAATAGTTGTTGCTGAAAGATAGCTATAAATTGGGTGCATGCCTTTCCCATCGTAGTATTGAATAAATTTCCCCAAATTTACTAAATCTAAATTCTAAAGTACCTGTATTTTTTTTCATGAAATAAATTTGTAAGATCACTAGGCTGCCTTATTAGCATTTGACAATGCTACCATCTCATCAGTCTTAAAAAACTAAAAATGACAGTTATGTTATCTACTTCTATACCTTTGTTATTATGAATAAATTTGATTATTTATGTTGAAGAATAAAATCCTTATTCTCTATTTTCTTAGCTAACTTACTTTTACATTTTCTTTTATCTTATAACCCAGTGATCTCTGCACACAACTTCTGAAGGTAATTTTTTTTTTAAATTTACAAATCCACTCAAATTTAAATTATTATCATAATTATATAATTATCTTCAAATTTAAATTAAATCATATTTTATTTCAAATCTAATAAATATTATTGACTTCCGTATATTATTGTTATATTTAAGTTATTATATCAATTATGGCAAATAGTGTTTCATTTGAAAGAGGGAAATCAATTTAATTTAGTTTTAAAAAATTGTATAAACTGGCGGTAATCACACAACATCAACCCTAATTCACACTGGTCGAGAATCATTAAGAGAAAAAAATGGAACTGAATTTGGACTTGGACTTCATTCCTTTCCATCGGGCATAAAGTGCCCAATTTCCTCCACAAAATAAGGAAAACTCAGCACAAACAATTAGCTTAAAAAAAAAAAAAAAGCGATCTTTTTTTTTTAATCCATCATATTTTTAGAACCATGTCTATAATATTCTAACTTTTCACCTATAAAAGAAGAAAGAAAAAGTTAAGTATACTAAAAAAATGTCACATAATCTATCATTAAGTATACTGATATTTTAATACATGTGTCGGAATGATAAGTGAGTGAAAAAGTTTTACATTAAATAAATATGTACTAATTGAACAACGAATAAGTAAGAAAGACTGAAACACCCTTTAAGATATTCAATCATATATGTTATATCAAATTCTGAAATTCACTTGCGTAGTTCATCACAACACGTTTGGTTATACCTGAGGAAGAACATATGCTAAAGTTTTGATGATGCCAAAACATTGAAAAAAATAAAGGTCAAGTTAAAATAAGCTGATCAAGAAGCAAGATCTCAAGTAAAAACTAAATAAGTCTTAACTGCTTAGCTTAGTATGTAAAATGAACTTTTAGAATTTGCAAATTTCACTTGGCCATTAAAATAAAGATTTCAAGAAAACCTAAACTTAATATTTTTGAATATAAGAATAAGTTGTTTGAAAAAAAAGAAAAAAAAGTATTAAAAAGATTAAACAAAAATATTTTTAACTAGAAAATAGAAGCTTTCTATATCTTAAGTTTTCATAAGCTAATTTTGGTATTATCAATCTAGTAATCGATTACCAGAAGATGAAAACTTCTCTGTTCAAAATTGAAATGTTAAACGTGCTCTGGTAATCGATTACCAGAGCCTATTTTCTGAAAAATTATAGAAAGTTACAACTCTTCGTGAAAAGACATAACCTATGAAACAATTGTCTATAAATACCTATAATTTTTCAGAGAAAGGTTACGAACTCTAATGTGAAAATCTATTTACAAAAACTATTTGGCCAAAATCATTTGCAAAAATCTCTAAAGAGTTCATCAAGTTCTTAAAAAGTGTAATATCTACTCTTTAAAGAGAGTCATTCTGTAAATACCCAATTGATCATTGGATCTGTGAAGGAGAAAGGATTTTTCTCCTTGTTGGTTTTTGAATCTCAACACAAGGAAAAGAAGTTCCGAGGTGTTGGAGGATTCAAGTCTTGTAAGGTTTACAAGAATAGTGAAAATCTCAAGTGGGAGACTTGAGGACTGGATGTAGGCAGGATTGGCCGAACCAGTATAAATTGATTTTTATTTTCCCTATGCTTTTTAATTACTTGCCATTAATTGTGATTGAGTAATTTGCATCATCATTCAATCTTTATATATAAATTTATCTAAGGAATTGAAGATGTAAGAAAGTAATTCGGAAAAATTTTTATAAAAGAAAAATTTGGAAAACTTAATTCACCCCCTCTTAAGTTAATTGGGGCTAAGTGACTAACAATACCACCGCAGACAATGTTATTAAGGAAGAACATGTTACATAACACCAAAGATTGCAATTTACAAAACCAGCTATGTACACTATATTCTATACAAAATGCAGAAGCCATGACAATTAGAAGCATGCTCTAGCAAACTAAGGTTTAAAAACTAAAGATAGATAGGGCAACATATTTTCAAAATTTGATGAAATACATAAGTTATGAGCCAGTACTTCCCTTCACTGAGCTCAATCTGTTAGTTTTCTGAAAGTTCCAAGTTTTCCATCTCAAATTGCTTAGCCATCCAAACTGAATCAAGGGTTGCCCAGACTGTTGTAGATTCACAATATTCCTTCTGTATGGTATCAGAAAATTCCTCAGACCTGCCATTCATAGGGGAAAAAGAAGTCAGCAACACATGTTCAAAAGCAAATCCTTCCTAATAACAGCATAGGCTAACACTATTATTAGCCCCTAAAGGAATATCAATATGAATAAAGCTTAGGTACAGTTTTTTAAGAGGTTTTGGTTCTGTCGCAAAAGGAGCATGACAGGTACCATTCTCTTATCAAAATCAGAACTCCTAATTTAGCCAATGACAACCTTTATAAAATAGGTTATCAAGATGAAAATTTAATTTTAATTGGAAAATAACACTAAAAGCACTTAAAATTTTAAGTGTGTTTAGATACATGCTTAGAAGAGCTTTTTAGAGCTTCTCTACTAAAAATAATAATTTTTTTTCTTCAATAGAGATGCTCTAAAAAGCATTTATAAGTTTGTATTCGAACAAACTCTATGTTTATGTAGATTACAATCCTTGAAGATTTTTTGGTTCAACTGCAAATAGGATTGCAACAATACTATTCTCCAATCAAAATTAGAGCTTCTTCTCAGCAACCAATGCTGACCTTAAACATCAACCTTTATCATTTATCGAGATGAAACTCCAATTATGATCAGAGAATGACACTAAAAGCACTTAAAGAACAACATCAAAGTATTATATTATCCTAACTATTATTATTTGGTGCAAGGCTTACCATTAACACACATTGTCTTATAAAGAAGAGCAATATGAGGGTCTCCTTTAGTACTCCCATGCTGCTTCTCCAAACACTCAAGAAAGGCTAAGTCAGCCTTCAGCAACTTGGCTTGATCATGAGTATCATACCCTATATCATGACAGTAACAGCAGAAATCCAACCAATCTATCGGTCGCCGGTCCCAAACAAGAGACCCTTTGTCTTTCCCACTTGACCAATTTGGTCCACAGTAATGTCCATATCTAGGGAACAGCTGAGAAAGAAATGCCCTAACCCCTGTGTGCCATGGAACCTTACACACATAAGGCCTGAAGCGTAAAGGAGTGGCCTCAGTATCTTTTTGTGCTTGCCTCTTTAACCCTTTATTGATAGTAGATGGCCTTTGAAACTTGTCTCCACCACTGTTTGCCCAAGGAAACAATGAAAGGAAGGACAATTTGGGATCATTGCTAGATTCTTGCTTAGGTTGTTCAGTGTAAGTTTTGGTAGGAACTGAATTAGCCACCGAATCTGTGTTCAATTGAGCATTTAACCAAGGGATTTTACCACGAAACTCCAAGTTCATGGTGGACAAAACTAGGGCCACCAAAGTACACAGATAGCTACCACAGTACCAAATATTCTGATAGCCTGCAAACAGAAAAAACAGCTAAATCTTTACTAGCCCATAGAAAACAATAAAAAACATTAAATAAAAGAAGCTACCCCCAAATCAGTGTTTGGCTCTACATCCATGAATCACGTTTAAACATGAATCACATCAAATTGAAGCAAAAGCAACAAATTGTTGTTTCTACTAATCCATATTCAACAAAAACTGATGTGAATCCAAACATGCTGATCGTTTGGTGTAAAGAATTTTTACTCAGGTATCCAATCCAATGACATATTAGTAAGCATTAAATTGTTAATTTTTGTAGTAATTGCTTTTAAAAATCATATCTAAAGTGATTTCTAATTGATTTTTTACCAGGAAAAAAAAAACGACATATATTAACAAATCAGGATATATACTACTACCAAATTAATATTTGGTGTATATTAAATACTGAAACCACGTTTTGCAGCAGAACTCGACCTAAATTTAACACATCCGAACGCATCATGGATTATTCGAGAACTATGTCACTTAATTGCTTGAGCATTGGATGCTATATTCAGCAGTTTATAATGAAAATGCAGAAACCAAAAAATATACACAAACAACTCTTAAACTTGCACTCAAGCACATACTCCTGAGCTTGAAAAATGAAAAATTGCAGAAAAAGAGAAAGTGGGCTTCTTCTATATTATTGTATCGAAGTCATAGAGAAACACCCATTTAATTAATTTTATCTTTTAGAAAACGAAAGAAGAAAAGTTTGAAACTTGAAGCATATTTCATAATTGGGCTAAGAGTATGATAAACTTACTTGTGCCGCATCTGCAAAATCATGTTGTGAGAGAAATGAAGAAACAGAAAGAAAGAGAGAGAGATAGAGATTTTGTTTGATGGGTCTAACGTTTGCCACCAATTCTTGATGAACAAAGTGGGACCCACCAAAATAAAGAAGTGTCCACCAGAATAATTCATGTCCATAGGGAAAATTCCAAAACAAGTTATTAAAGAATTACCATTTTTGTAACGTGTGGAATACTGGTTCTTGATCAAACTATATTAACCAGAGAAAAAAAAAACACATTATGTATAAACTTTTAAGAAAGACACATTCCCTTTTTCTATATGTTTATTTAAATAAAAAAAATTAGGAATTTAAATAATAAAAATAAAAAATGAAAATAGTGATGATGTAAGTTAAGTAGTTTATATCTAGAGGAATCAAATAGCGTGGACTTGAAGCAATTCTACAAGGATACAATACAATAGTAAAAAAGAAAAAAGACTAAAAAGGAAGTTACACACAAAAGAGGATAGCTATATCCACCAAAACAAAGCATCCGAAACAGCTTCTCACCTTTAAAATTGGCACTTTTCAATAATTATATCATAAAATAATTATTTATTTCAATATTTTATAATTTAAATTAATTTTTTAATGACTTGGAACGACTTTTGGCATGTTATTTCGGCCAAATATCGTTTCTCCACACAAAATGGTATCCCTTTATACCTGTTCTATTTCTTAAAATGTACAAAATAATAAATAATCTAATATGTAGTTATTTAAAGAATTGATTAATATAAGTGATTATAAGTTTAGATATGAAATAGATTATGTAAGAAGAAGAATAACTAACTTATGTATATTCATAATCTCTTATAGAAACTAATTACTACTTTTAGAAATGTATATTTAGTGCCAAAATATGATTATACAAAAAATATGATATTTAGTACCAATGTCATAATTACCTAAAAATAAAATAAAAAAAAATACTTAGAGAAGAGTGTGACGTTAGAAAGTTAAATAAGAAAAATAAAATAAAATAAAATAAATATATTTATACGAATAAAAATAGTTTAAGATAATGTGTATACTAGAAAGAATATTCTATTTATTATTAGTATATATTATTTTAAAATTAAAGTTTAAGTTTAAAAAAAAGTTAAATTTTATACGTAGTTGATTAGATGATAATTTTTTAAACGATGATAAAATATAAAGTAGTGTAATTTATAATATTAGTTAAAAAGAAAAAGAAAATATTAAAACGTAAATAAAAAATAGATATTACTAATATAATAGTTATAGTTATATATTATAGTTAGTAGATATAGAATTTATCAATTATTTTAGGTTTAAATATGTTTATAATGTTCAAATTTGTTTTTTTTTCTCTCAAATTTAAAATTTTTAATTTGTCATGTGATTTAAAAAAATGTTGTTATAGTCTCACAGAATCATAGGTAGCATCAATAACATTAACAAATTGAAAAGGTTATATAATCTCAATTAAATTTAATGTGATATTTTTATTAATAAAAAGATTATTAAGTAAATTTTGTGTAACATACATTGGAATAGTTGAGTTTTATTTGATAAATTTACTAATGACATTTGCATAAAAGACTAAAATAAGAATTTTTAAAAAAATTATAAGAACTAAAAATCAATTTTAAAATTAAGGAATAAAATCAAATTTACTTCATATTTAAGAGATTAAAAATGAGTAAATATTCAATTTGGTTCTTGAAAGATGGTAGAGGAGGGTGATAGGTTCTTGAAATATTTGTTGTGATATCCAGATCACTAAATTTTAACATTATTATGCAAGTTATGTTGAATTTATTGGAGATATTTGAGTTAATTATTGAGTCAATTACTGAAGTTCCACATGAAGATCTTTATGAAGCCGAGATATATTTTAGTTTTGATGATATTAGCATTAGACAACAGTTAAGTATAAGGTTGACACATATTCTCTCTCCCACTTAGTTGTAACTAAGTATAATATAAAGACTAACTTATATAACGAAATTAAGATTTAAGGACTCAAATGACACAAAAAATGTGAGACCCCATTCCTTCCGCAATTTCCTTTTCACCTTCACTCTCTCCTTTCCTTTGGCTGCCCCATTTGCTCTCCTTACATTCTTCCCCTTTTCTTACTGTCTCAAGGTGGTAGTGCGAAGTGAGCTTGGGCTGCTAGCTGGTTTTCGGAGTTCTCTCTTCTTCTGCCGTGTTCGTTCAAGCTCTCATTCGTCTTTCCCCTCCGTTTCTTCTTCCCGGAGCTCGACATCCTTGTATCGAGGTAAGGGAAGCTAGTTTTTTTTTTGCTGTGTTCTGTTGAAAATGAGTCCATAAGCTCATTTTGTGGTTGATTTCGTGAAGATTGATGGTTGATTTGGTGAAAATGTTTTCGGGGTTGATAGGGTGATGGGAAAAATTTGGGTTTTCCTTGATTTGTGGTTGCATGTGTAGAAAGATGTTGTTTTTGAACTATTTGATGTAAATGTGAACTATTGGATGGTTTGCATGTGGATTTCCTAGTTGTCTTTGCAGATTTTTGAAGAGATTTTCGAACCTGGGGGAGTTGTTGCTGAGCTTCGCGCTAGGCGCAGTTCTTCGCGCCAGGCACGAGACCACCAGGGGGCTCCATTTAGGCAAGCCCCCACGGGCGCAAAGGTGTGTGCGTCGGGCGAGCTTGAGAATGTGAGCCTCTGGTTGGCCCACGCCGGGCGTGATATGGACAACGCCGGGCACGATATCAGTATGTGGCATGTTTTGGGGTTTCTGGTACAGCGTTGGGCGCAACTCTGTCGCGCTGGGCGTGGAGACTCCTTGGGAGTCTCTGCCAGAGGGGCGCTGGGCACAATTTGAATTGCGCTGGGCGCGAGACCTTGGGAGGTCTCTGCCTTCCCCGCGCTGAGTGCGGGCTTGGGCACGTCGGGCGCGTGAGACTCCTTAGAGTCTCTGCCTGGGCATGCACTGGGCACAAATATGATTTGCGCCAAGCGCGGGAGAGCCTCGGGCTCTCTGGCTGGGTCAAGCCGGACGCGAGCATTCTTGCACCGGGCGCGATGACCCCTGGTGCTCTCTGGTTGTGCTACGCCGGGCGCGACCATGAGTGCGCCGGGCGCGTATGATGATGTTGACTTACATGCTGATGGCTGTTAAATTTTGCTAAAATTGTTGATAGATGTTATTTTATGTTGAACTAAACTGTAATTGATGAATATGCTGTGCTGACTAGATAATAGTACTAAGAAATGATGTTGAGCTGTAATAGAGGTTTATTGTTGTGCTGAGCTGGGCTATGATTGATGATTTTAAATGCTAAATTATAGTATTGTTGTACTATAGAATGTTGAACTGAGTTGTGAGTAGTAAGCTGTGTTGAATACTACTTGGCTGTGTTGTATGCTGATTTGCTGTGCCGTGTTGTGAGCTATGTTAGCTGAGCTATATGTTGATCATTTTCCACTATTGTGGTGCTGTTATTGTCGCTATGTCGATGTTGTTATTAGCCACTATTGTGGTGCTGTTATAATCGCTAAGTCGGTGCTGTTATTGCCGCTATGCGGTGCTGTTATAGCCACTTGAGTGGTGCTGTTATTGCTGCTACGTAGTGCTGATATTGCCTCTTTGCGGTGTTGATATTGTTGAATGTTGTGGTGTAGTGTAAGCTATGTTGGTGTGATGATAGTTGTAGCTGTTCACTAATCATATTGTTATATATGTATGTTGATTTCTTTTCACTAGTTTACCCTTTGTTGTCTCCATGATGTTTGGACTGCGATGATCATACTATGTATGGGAGCAGAGCAGGGATAGGTTGGTGGCTGGTGGTGAGTCTGCAGCTGGCAGATGAAGCTAATCCTATAGGATGTTTGGTTGTTTTAACTACTTGGTGTAGTAGCATCTGATGTATTTTGTACACTTTAACTCTATCCAGACTTGGACCTTGTATATGTATATACTCTAGACCCATTATATACTTGTTCTATCTGTCTGGTGTTTCCGGTGTGCTGTGTCGTGTGTAGTGACTAGCTGGGTCGTTACACTTTAGTGGTATCAGAGCAGTTCGAGTCTAGTGGGCACTCTTTCGGGGTGGTTCCTTTAGGCTTTTGTTGTGCTGAGCTCTGTGTTGTGTTGTCTTGCTGTGTTGTTTGTTGTGCTGATTGTGGTGATGTTTTGCTGTGATGTTGATTGTTGTTTGGTTTAGTTATTATATACTAAAGATGTTGTTACTTTTGTAGACAATGACTAGAACCAATGAGCAGATAGCCCGTGCCATGGAGATGATGGATATGACTATGCAGCAGCAAAATGCTTATTTTGCTAGGGCGGAGGCCGATCGAGCTGCAGCTGGTGTAGCAAGACCCACGGGGTCACAGGAGAGCCGGGACCTAGCTGAGTTTCAAAATTTCCATCCTCCACAGTTCAAGGGAGAGGCAGATCCAGAGGTAGCTGATCACTAGATTTGTGAGCTGGAGAAAATCTTTACAGTGCTGGGATGTTCTCAAGAGAGGAGGCTGGCATATGTTGTGTACATGCTGGTTGGGGAGGCTGAGCATTGGTGGAGGGGTACTCACCATATGCTGACCGCTAGAGGAGTGGTTGTGGATTGGGAGTGCTTCAAGAGGATGTTCTTGGAGAAGTATTTCCCTGAGAGCGTGAGGCACGCCAAGGAGGCTGAGTTTATGCGGTTACACCAGGGAGGGATGACAGTTTCTGAGTATGCGATGAGATTCGAGCACTTGGCTCGTTTCTATTCGCAAGGTATAGCTGAGGCCTGGAAATGCAGGAAATTTGCGGAGGGTCTGAAATATGAGCTGAAGAGGGTGGTGGTGCCTATGGCCATCACAGAGTTTCCGGCCTTAGTGGAGAAGGCGAAGGTTGTTGAGCGGTTGGAAGGTGGTAACCGTGTTGTGAAGACTGCTGAGGGACCAGCTGGGTCCAAGAGAGGTGGAAATCAAAGGAAGCCATATGATAGGCCCCAACCACAACAAGGGGGTCTTGTCATTAGGCAACCTTCTGGTGCTGCTGGTGGAGGTAGACAGGGTGGAGGTGCCACTCTGAGATGTTACAGGTGTGCTAGGCCCCATTTTGTCAAGGATTGTCCACACACGGAGAGCCAGTGCTT